TTGTGCCAGAATCGACACCAATGATTAGACGGAAATGATAGTCGAAAGTAAGCGGGGACGGTAGTGTGCGGCGGATGGTGCCGACCATGGAGATTAGAGTTACGGAGAATGATCGCTGTAGAAAATAGTGTCCCAGAAATATAGACAAAATAAGGTAGTGAGGCGCTGCGATCACTAAGTTGTATCAATAAAAGCGGGCTCATTTGAAATTACCAATGCCGCGAAGAAAATTTGTACAATATTCAACTAACTTCATCTACTTGTACTCATAAACAGCTAACTTCACAGATACTACTTACCGACGGCAGCGCGGCTGGTGGCTGAAAAATGAACTGTAAATTCTACAAATTTTCAGGGACAGGCGGGCTAATGCTTTAGAACGTAGCGATCGTTCTCCTTCTCTCTAACCTCCATGGTGCCAACAGCGGTGAGGACACACCTGAGAGGAAACCCTGGCCGTAGCGGAAATCATTATACTATAAAAATATATAAGTGTAGGCGTTACCTTCATGCTCTTTAAATGCAAAAACGGTTTTATTAAAAAAAAAACTTTGATCAAATACACTATTAATATATAAATATAACATTAATTTATCAAATTGAAGAGCTCGCAGGTGCAGGTGGTTAGCGCGTTCGGCTGCGATAGTTGAAGTTGAGCAACTTTCGCAGTGGTCGGTCATTGGATGGGTGACCCAAAATCTTCTATCTCGAGTTCCTCCGTGCTTCGGAAGGCACGTTAAGCCGTTGGTCCCGGCTGCATCTGCAGTCGTTAGCACCCGCCAATCCACACTGGGCCCGCTTGGTGGGTCATGGTCCAATCTCCCTATTCCATCCATAGGGAAGGCCTGTGCCCCAGCAGTAGGGACATTAATAGGCTGATGATGATCATGATGATGATGAATTTATCAAATAAACTGAGCATATTAAAAACTCAGTAGATTAATACTTACTTTCAACTGTAAGGTAGAATTTAAATAATTTTATTCAATTCAACAAACCTTAATAACATTTTTACCCCGTAGAGAGGAAAACGATAATTTCAGGCCTTGCCGAGGCTTGACCTATCAGAGTTTGCCTATCGCACTAATTGTGAATTCGAATTACGACCTAATTAGCTTGAGTGTGTTGGGAGGCAGGTGCCCCGTGCTTAGGGTTACTATTTAAAAATTTGAAGTCCTGACAAAAAGCCGGAAATTTCGATAAAAGTCCGGACATTTTAGTCACTAAATGCAAACATCAGCCAGTTAGATACAGTTAGTTAGTATTAGTATTATACGCGTGGTAGCAGACGCTCGCATCGTGAGGGGGGTCTCGTTTTTGGTTTTTAAAGATAATTTATATTTTGTTTTAAAATAATGAGAACTTAATAAAGATTATTTGACTTATTTGATATAACTTAATAAGTAGTTTTACTCATATTCCACCTAAATAAAAAAAGCCGGACAAAGTCTGGACATGTCCGGACAAATCCGGACGGATGGTAACCCTAAATGGAGCAGCGCACGTATCAGTCATATATATAATATATATTGTCGCGTGTGACGCTCATAGCGTTCATCCATCTTATTCAAAAAATCCGGACAAATTAAAAAGCCTCACAGAGTCCGGACAAAAGCAAAGTCCGGAAATGTTCGGAAAAATCCGGACGAATGGTAACCCTATCCGTGCTTGGCGGGGCGAGGCTGCCAGAAAACGGCGCGTGAAGCACGCGTTGGCAAATGAGCCGCTGCCACTGGGCGCCCCACACGACAACGGCTAACTAGAGCCGAGGTCCGAGTCTCAAAGACGCCCTTTAGTTGAGCCGACCCCCTCAGGTTCGAATGGTCTGGAGGCTCCAGACGGAGAGGAGACTCCCCCTGTGGGGAGACGCCATCCAACTGGAATACCACCAGAGGCACTCGCCAATTCTCGGCTTGAGGTCCCCTTAGGATCTCGCCGTCCCCAAACCCGGTGACGCTGTAAAGGTCATCTGCGAGAGAGAGGTATATGAGCCGTTGCCGATTTACACATTGGGTACGATAGGTAATCCCTGAAAGGTCAATCCGAAGGCTAAATTATTAAAATAAATACAAAAACATATAGTCTTCTTAATTAGTTCATCGGTATTTAGAAAAATATTTTTTTCTAGTCAGTTGACTGACTCTTTATTTCATAAATATATTACCATAGTCATCTGAAATAAAAAGGAAATACGTACATTAAAACAAGAGGATTAATAAAAAGTTGTTAAAAAAGAGATTTAATCTTTTATAATCCTCAGTGGAAGGACGGGCTTTTGGAAAACCATATAAAAAGGGTAACAAAGATCCATGCAAACGTAAGATTAAAATTAAAAGCGTAAGTGGTTAATATACAACTTTAAATCGTCGTAGATCCTAAACACTCACATAAAATGAAAAATGGTGTAGGGAACCTAAACATGATTTTCGATTATCTGGACAATGATACCCTCGACATATTTCCTTAACTTATTTTTTTTACTTCCTCACAATATGGCGCCTAATTGTCCCCATATTAAATTTTGATTACTATCATATCTTTAGTGGCACTCCTATTATTAAGACGAATCGATTGATGTATGAATCATCAAAATCGGTCCACGCGTTTGGTCTCTAGTGTGCCACAAAGGAACATACATACATTTAAAGACTGTTAAACACTATACCCTGTCTGCGCGTCGCGCTTCGCGCTGTTACATTGCGCAGTCGGGTAAAAAACAAGGCCTCTAAATGTGTACTGTGGTGAGGGGCATGCTTAGAATAAAAAGAAATAATACATGTTGTCGGCAGAAGACATCTGAGTTAAAAAAAAACTCCAAGGGTTTTGGGATTAAAATATGTAGGTAATTAGTTTATTTATTTATTTATTTCTCGCGAGGAGAAATAAATAAAAAAGAAATCGAGGAGCTCGATGGCGCAGGTGGCTAGCACGTTCGGCTGCGATCGTTGAAGTTAAGCAACTTTGGCAGTGGTCGGTCATTGGATGGGTGACCAAAAATTTACTATCTCGAGCTCCTCCGTGCTTCGGAAGGTACGTTAAGCCGTTGGTCCCGGCTGCATTTGCAGTCGTTAGCACCCACCAATCCGCACTGGGCCCGCGTGGTGGGTCATGGCCCAATCTCCCTTTTTTTTATAGTAGGAAATGCTTTATGCATACCCAGTAACGATATGGGGCCGTTCCTGGGTTATGTGGGACTCCAGGATTCTGATTACCCACTAAAACCTACTGTACTCTTCATGTGCTTATTATCTACTGCACGAGAAAGCGCAATAGCGCAGGCGTTCGCACAGCGGACAGCACTTGGCCTCGCAGGCCTCCACGGGAAAAGAAGTTGCCCATCGAGTACGCATGGGCAACTCCTCAACGCCAGGGCGGAATGGTGATGATGGTGGATGCTAGAGCCCCATTCTAGCACCCACCGCCCCGACTCGGCGGTTGGAGAGCGGCATATTGGCGCCTCCGCCGCCCGACTCTTCGCTTGCGGATTGGGTCTACAAAGGGATCGTCCTCTCGAGCCCTTTCCGCGGCCTCCCTCTGTAACATTATCTGCTCGCAGAAGGAGGCGACCGCCTCCCAGGACGTCGCGCTGTCGACCATAGCTCTCACCAGAGTCAGCAGCGAGAGGTCCCGCCCCACAACAGTGACAAGCTGGCGCCGTTCAGCGTCAAAAGCCCCACAAGCCTCTAAAGCATGTTGCGCCGTGTCGTCACTAGCCCCGCACTGATGACAGCGGGTATCCGGCTCTCTTCCGAACCTGTGCAGGTAGTGGCCGAAAGCCCCATGGGCAGTCATCACCTGCACAAGTCGGAAAGATAAGGAGCCGTGTCGCCGGGTCATCCATTCGACCAGGTAAGGCCGGATTCCCGTTATTGTCCAGTGGCTTGCGGTGGGAGTCTGCAACCTCTGCAGCCATTCCTGCATTACGGCGCTCTGGGCCCTCTCGCGCCATCGCCGTATTATCTCGGGCGCCGGGCGTAAACCATCTCTACGGACTTCTGCTGACAGCCTGTAGACTTGTGCCAATGCTTTGGCGTCTAGGTCCCAGGGGGTGGTTCCTGCGATTACGCACGCAGCCTCATACGATACAGTGTGGTATGCGCGTATGACCCTGTTTGCCAGCACCCTCTGCGGTCTTCGCAGAAGGGTTTTGGCTTCGATAGACAGGGCCTCCGCCCACACAGGCGCACCGTATAAGGCCATAGACCGTACAACCCCTGTGTAAAGGCGTCGGCAGGTCGAACTCGGTCCGCCCAGGTTTGGGAGGAGTCTGGCTAGGGCACCAGCCGTCGATATTAACTTTGGGCACAGGCGCGTGAAGTGCTGTGTAAAGTTCCACCGCGACTCTAAGGTAAGGCCGAGATACCGCATTTGCGCACTGACGGGTATGCGCACACCATTAATGTCCAGGTAAGCACCCCGGGGAGGCCTCGTGCCAGGCCCGCAAAAATACATCGCCTCCGTTTTTTCGATTGCGACGCGTAACCCAAGGCTCTGTATTCTCCGGATCGCGCGTCCAACGCCCGAATTGGCCAGCAACAAAGCATTTCTAAAATTGCTGGCTCTGACTAAAACTAGGGTGTCGTCTGCGTAGCAGACGACATTGACACCCGGTAAACGAGCACCGCGCAGGGCGTAATTGTACCCAATATTCCACAGGGTTGGGCCTAGAACCGACCCCTGTGGAACACCGCACGTTGCTTCTCTCGTTACGACCAGTCCCTTCTTGTCAATACAGCAGATGCTCCGGTTCCTGAGGTAGTCATGAATAAGCTGTCTGAGATAGACAGGCACTTCATGGAACTGGAGCCCCTCCTCTATACAGCTGAAGGGGAGGGTGTTGAATGCATTGGAGATATCCAGCGACACGGCAATCAACACCCTGCCCAATCCGGTAGCCTCCTCCGAGAGGGCCCTCACTTTCAAGATGGCGTCCACGGTGGATGGCCTATCTCCCTATTCCATCCATAGGGAAGGTCTGTGCCCCAGCAGTGGGGACATTAATAGGCTGATGATGATGATGATGATGATGATTTATTTATTTAATAATCACTTACATCTATCATTACAGGTATAACCTAATACAATAGAGCAGTTACGATACAACCAATTATTATACAAAACTAAAAAATAAAAAACAGTTATTAAGTTATACTTACGCCAGAGCTCATTGGCTGGCAAGGCTTGATCAGGAGAGGGCAAACTGTAGATGTAGCCTATTTGACACGGGTTCCAGTGTTCGCACACCTCTCTGTCCGGATCCAGTTCTGTCACAAACTTGTAGGTCTGTATAGAAGAAATACGGTTCAAGAACCTTTTATTTTTTCAACTTTGGTAACAAACAGATGCAAATAGGGTTGCCATCTTTTTTTCGTCCAAAGAAAGTACACTGTCCCGGCTGCATCTGCAGTCGTTAGCACCCACCAATCCGCACTGGGCCCGCGGGTCATGGCGCAATCTCCCTAATCCATCCATAGGGAAGGCCTGTGCCCCGGCAGTGGGGACATTAATAGGCTGATGATGATGAACAGTGGCGCGTGCATCGAGCCCAATAACAAACTTCTTCGGAGGGTAGTCCCAGGGGCGAATTTATTCTATAGCCATCCCTGCCGTGGAGCCCTGCTAGGCCGGGAAGCTGTCAAGTACGGAGACGCGGTGATATCCCTCAACGGGGATCACGTGGTTCCGCACTTAACAGCGTAGAGGGTATTCGCAGATTTTAGCGGATAGTATGCCGTAAGCGCTCGTTCGCCGCGCGGACTGCTTGACGGCAGGGCTTGTAACCGGTTTCTAAAATACCGGTAAATAAAGGTTAATACCGGTTTTTAGTAAAGGTTTCGTTCGGAGCGCGTCCAAAATAAAAGCGGTACCGAAAACCTCAATAAACCGGTTTAATCCACAGCGACACGTGCATGCGTCGGCATCGCTTGAAGTTTGTTTTGTTTGAACTAATCAAGACACAACTTGTTAACGCTCAGAGATTGATGCATTTATTGGCACGTTCGCTAGCGTCTAGTGAGTCAAGTTATTCATTTTGTAGTTGTGTACTGACACACTACTTCACTACTCGCTCTGTAGTTGGAAAGAAACTGACATAAAATCATTATAAATTTGAATTGAAACGGCGAAGGCGATGCCGTCAGTAAGAGCGAAATGAAACCCTTTAAAAACCGCTAAATTGATTCAAAACCTAACCTTTGATTTCGCTTTTTAGGGAAACCGGTTGTTTGAAGGTTAAGGTACTGATACTGATTTAGGTTTGAAAATTAACCGGTAAGCAAGCCCTGGTTGATGGCTTCTCCGTTCAGCACCCGTGACACTTGCGAGAGGCTAGCTGTGAGGCCCGTTCGTTGGTGTGCCCCTTTTGAGCGCCAACGACTGGAAATAGAGATTTTACCTGCATAAAAAAGGTACAGGAGAGCCATGGCCCGGGGCTGCAGGCAATATCCTAACCGCAATTACTTCAGTTACACCATAATCATGGCGCTTGCAACAGTGCCGAAATATCGAAAACTCACTAAAACAAGGCACACTGTCACTTTAAAATGACTCACTCTATCCGGATAGTATCTGTAATGCACCACAACATCGTCCGTGTCCTCCAAGGCACACTTCGCACTGGTGTAGTTCAAAGAAGTTCTCTCCATGGGGGCGCATCCAATCACCGTGGAGCCGTTGCGAGGTAGATCGGGACCTTCGACCTTGTGCCCTGCAAGTAAAGTTGATATTCGACTGGCTAGCGAGTCAAGACAGGCGGTAATTACTGCTAATTTTTACGGAGACAAAGAAGGTTTTTTTTTTATTTATTTTATTTATTTAAACTTCATTGCCATACATATGCAAACTTCGGACTTAATGCCATAGGCATTCTCTATCAGTCAACCTGAACGAGTGTTAGAGACAAATGGTATGGCGATAGGGCAAAATGCTTTATAATAAAACGTTTTGAAAATAACAGCGATTAAAATATATTAATACTTTTATACAAAATTTTATATACCTACAAAAAATACACAAATAAAATACATAAATAAATATATACATACATAAAATACAATAAATATAATATATAAATAGATAAAAACTATAAATAATAACAAAAAAAAAGAAGAGATTGCGTAGTCAGGTCAGTGAAAGTTTTTTTATGATAAGGAAAACTCTAAAGATTTTCTGAGGAAGTTGTGGACTTTCAAAAAAGCATTCTTCGATAGCTTAGACGTTTTCTTTTTAATAAAGGTTCGGCAAATGACTCCACCCCACTAGACGTTGGGTGACGGTGAAGTCAAGCCGCGAAGATAGCTGCTGCAGCTATTATCTGCTACACCAACCATCCTCACCAGTAGGTTCTTCACGCCTCTTGTAAAGGACCCCTGGTTGAAGGAAGGAGCGAACATATGAGCGGGCAAAGAATTCTCTTTTCAGATAGTGCGACAAGGAAATGAACCACCACACATTTGTTTTCCTATTCGGTAAGGATGGAGAGAATGCATGAAAGAAGATCGTCAAAAGAAATTTATAGTGCGAGTGTGTCTGAAAGGGTTGAGATTGAAAGAGGTTGTCTGTTTTGAACTTGTACCAAGTAGGGGACAATTGTATATCCCTTAATACCCATCTGGGAACCCGAAGTAAAGCTATGATGACTTATTTACAAAAGCTTTCGGATAAACACTCTTTCAAAGTTGAATTTTCTCTTAATATTGCTAAAAGAACTATAAGTTTATGAAGTTTAAATGCAAATAAATATTCTATGTATATATCTATATTGATTATATAAAATTCTATTCTTTCAAAATGGAACCCGTGACAGATATATGATGGTAACCAGTTGTCATAGTCCACACATTAGGAGACAATGATGAAATTGATGAAAGTGGACAGAAATGTTATGACAAAGTAATGAATATTAAAATTGAAATGACGATGGATCACGAAGAATGAAGAGGAAATTAAAAATATTGCACCAAATATCTCAAGAACAGTTAAGCCTATTCGCCCACTGGTTTAGACAGATAACAGTGATGATCATATAGCTAACTGCTGATCCACTGCTGCTTTAATATAACGCCACTAAGATATTTGTCCTGAAAAGCATCGTTGGATATGCAATTTTCACTTTAGTTGCACACATGGAGTACCCCCACTAGAGTCCGCATCACACAAATTTTGTTTGGAATCAAAATCGCTAAAGTCGGTGGGGTGCAGGGAGGTCAGCCCCGCTGTGATTGGACGCGTCAAGGTCAGATCATATACTCAGTGCAGCGAAGTGATGAGGGTAAGATCGATTTTAGAAAATATCGATATTTTCTATCGATAAACAATTTAGAATAGAGGCCTAGCACTTTGGTGCGCAAATGCGTAATCATACCCTCTCTACTTTCTTCCAGCGTTCTAATTACATGACGCGACTAGTAACTACATACTAAATTATATATAAGCAACACAAAAAAAACACGTCCAGGACAAGAAGTATTAATGCAACGATATTAACTACCCTAGATACAACAACACGAACAAAATCGTGGCCGAAACGTGTCCAAAAGGTACATTGGACGATCCACGGAGGTCCGTAAGATGATCGCGTGGTCAAAAACAATATAATGCCTTATTTAAACATTGAAAGTCACCTTTAATGCATACGGCATAAGGTCTTAATTAAAATGCATGCGTCAAGTTCGTAAAATTTTACGATTTATTGTTATATGTGAAAGAATATAGACCTTATTTTTTTTTACTTTTCACTCGCAATTCTGAATGCGCTGTTAGCAATATAGCAAGTACAGACCGCGAAGAAAAGAGATGGCTAAGGGCGACGTATAACCGACCATGCATTTGAATATCACAAATATTTTAAATTAAATCAGTTTATAGTAAGTATTACAACAATAAAATTTGCTTTAAAGGCGTTAATTAAAAAACATTAATTAGATACCCGTCGAAAAAAGGACACTTTACGTACTATTAGTATTTTTCTGCATTTTTTCACGGAACTCTTTGGCATCTTGACTTTTCAACGGTCCGCGTGACTGTGTACTAAGAAGTGCTTGAGTGGAGTTCAAGCACTTCTTGATTGGGACACATTTTGAGCGCTCGTGGTGTATCTAGGGTATTTAATATCGTTAATTCTATGTCTTTATCTAAGTCATAAACTATGCGCACTTAATTTCATACAAATCCGTTTAACCGTTTTAGCGTGAAAGAGTAACAAATATGCATACAAATTTTCGCGTTTTTTCAATTTTATTAGGATATGTTTGAAGTCAAATAAAAACTATTGGTTGTATACTTATGACATCTATTATTGTATACGATGAAATAAATAGTTTTTATTTATTTTTTCCATTTCCATAGCTGACAAACTTATCGATAAACTTACGCGTTGAGAGATGAGCTGCGTCTGAGTCACTAGCAATACACGTGCCGGTGTGAGAGCGAGATAGCATATATGATGTAGTCCATGCGAGAAAGGGATAGTGTAAAAAGACATCAACGCGTTCACCAAAAAATAAATACAATTAACAGCAATTTAATATAACAGTATTTTTGTCTTTTTGTAATGCATTTAAACTAACCAGTGAAAAGTAATACCATTTTTTTGAAGACTGGAAGTTGTACTCGACTTTCCACACACTTTTTTTACAGTTTTTTAACACAAAAACGAGAGAAGCAGTTCGACCAACGCTCGGTTACCGAATGAAACGATGTATCGCGACGTCTGTAGGCGTGCCTCACGCATAGGTAAAATACTACTTAAGCTTGGCGTAAGCGCTTGCCCTTGTTTGCGGACTCTAGTGGGGGTACTCCGTGGTTGCACACTATCAAATGTCAAAAAAGTTAGCAAATAAAGCCTCTGGACAGGCGCATAAGTGCTTAAAAAAGAAAATATATACCATGAACTCACTGTTACAGAAGAAATACTTATTGTCAGCGACGTAGAGGTCCTTATCCTCTGCACTCAAGCATGAGTCGAACATGACGGTAGAAGGCTCGATGTCGTCCTCGCACATTATTATCCCGGAGCCGTCGGGCTCCTTGGGGGCTCTGTTCATCGGGCAGCGGAACATTAGACCTGATTCCAGCAAACAAAATAGTAGTTAAGCCTTTAAGGCGACCAGTAGTTCTATTTTTGAATCACTCGTCTTGCGTCGTACGCTCGATTTGTACTAAATTTCATTCGACATAATTAATTCTGTATTATATTTGTTTCTTAGGTTTTCACGCACATCACTCATTAAATAAAACTAGTTTTTACGGGTTAATGCACGAAACTTTATTTATTTATTGACGTTTCGCAGCCTTTTCAGGTCTGCATCGTCAGAATAATGATTTCATATTTAAAATTGTCGAGCTACCTTCGAAGGTATCTCGACAATTTGAAAAGGCTGAAAAGGCTGCGAAACGTCAATAAATAAATAAAGTTTCGAGCATTAACCCGTAAAAACGAGTTTTATTTAATTCTGTATTTTTGAATCACTCGAATACTACGAATGGGTGAGACCACTCGCTGCATGGCGAACGGTAGAGGCGAATGATAGAATAATTGTCAATTTTTTTGTGCTATTAGACGACGATAATCTATCATTGTCATGCTTTATATGAAACGACAACGAGAATTTTTTGGTCGGTTTTCATTGCGGTAATTACCGGTTTTTATTTATATTTTTCTGCGTGAAATGAGTAAAATTTCTTATTAAACAGGTCACACAGGTGACGAATGATTAAAAATACGGAAAATCAGTATCATACGACTTGAAAGTTGAAGGTGACTCATGTCGCATTCGACGATACTATGTCAGACGAGTGATTCAAAAATAGAGCTCCAGTAGAAGGTCATTAATAATAATTATAATTACTTTATGTGGAACAAGTGCAAATGTACATAAAATTATGTAACGTCAAATCTGTTATAGTTTTACAAAAACTGTGTTGCAGAATTAACGCCCATTCCCGTTTAACATGGAAACAGTGTGTGTCCTTTTAATTTATAACTAAACAAAATGTATTAATACTAGAAAAGAAATTAAAATGAGTTAAAAAATATTCATAATGCATCGACGGTAATTTGAAAACAAAAAAAAGTATTTGTGAGTGCATTATCTATACTTATAATAAATCTGTAGAGAGGTCAATTCTGTACATGAAATATATTTTCAAAATAACTATCAGGGGGTGATTAGTGGTCGATATTGATACCAAAAATGCAATCGGTAAAATTTTTGTCTGTCTGTGTGTATGTTCCTTATAGAAACAAAAACTACTCGACGGATGTTAACGAAACTTGGTACAATTATTCTTCATACTCCTGGGCAGGTTATAGTATATTTTTCATCACGCTACAATCAATAGCAGCAGAGTAGTGAAGGGAAATGTTGGGAAAACGGGAGAAGTTACTCCATTTTTTAAGCTTCCGTCGCGTGTGCAGCCTTAATGGTTAAAGTTACATAGAAATCATGTATGACGGAAATATTCTACATATAAAATATCCCGCAACAGCATATGTCTATCTTTTATGGTTGACTCACAATAACACGTGAAATTATGTAAATAAAGTCATTGTTTATAGCACAACGCTGAGAACAAAAACTATAGTTTACACTACAGCTCTACACCGAAGCGAAGCGAGGGCGGGCCACTAGTTATCAATATATTAACAAAACAATATTATATTTTACCAAAAATTTAAAATAATCAAACATTGAAACATTAGAATTGCTTCCAGCATTAGACATTCCCGTAGCTGCCGGTCAATTCCATCAGTTATCAACTAAAAAAGAGTATGGTGGCTTAAGGCGGCCTTGATGGCGCAATTACTTGCCGCATTTGACTGTGATCGTTGAAGTTAAGCAAGTTCACCTTGGTCGGTCATTAAATGGATGACCAAAAATTTACTATCTCGAGATCCTCCGTGCTTCGGAAGCCACGTCAAGCCGTTGGTCCCGGCTGCATCAGAAGTCGTTACCACCCACCAATCCGCACTTGGTGGGATGGCCCAATCTCCCTGTTCCATCCATAGGGAAAGCGTGTGCCCCAGCATTAACGATGGTGACTAAAAAGTCATAGTTCACCCCAGCGCGACTGCTTAACCGTCAGTCGGTCATACTTTGAATGCCATTCCTCCTCCTTGTGTCGTGCTCCTCATTGCTGAGGGTCGTGACCTCCACGAATTAATTTGTGGACGATCGCTTTCCACTTGTTGCAGTCTTCAGCAGTGTGGAGTGCATCGCGAACTCCAGTTTTGGTATTGTCGCGGTTCTGGTCTGTCCAGCGCATGGGCCTTCCCTGTACTTTTCCTGTCACCAGGGGCACTTCCGGGGTATCGTTTTTCTTCCTTGCTATGTGACCGAAAAATTCGAGGATCCTACGCAAACAGAAATTGGACAGCCTAACGGTGACTCCCACTTCTATGTATGCCAGTATTCTGTGAATGCCAGTAATGGATATAAAACTCATTTTCGAGCAAAGTGGCGTTTAAGCGATTAAACGCCACTTTTAAGCCTTTTCAATATCGATATTTACCCTTCCTTATAATGAGGGGTGGTTTGTTCCGTATTTCGGCTATGGTAACTCCTTTCTCCCCGTTCTGTATGGCAGTCATGACCCGTTTATACAAAGTGGTACGGCGTTCCTGCTCGGCTATTATATACGGGAGCAGCTCTTCGGATAACACGTCCACCTTCTTCTTGGCTTCTGCGTTCATCTGCACGATAGAATCAAAAATCAAATCATTTTTTTTTGAAGTTATACTTCTTTAGGCGCGTTATGAAAAAATGATGAGAGTGAAATTTTAAGATGCGCGCGCATCACTGTAACTGTCGCTTTAGCGACCAACTTCATGCTGTTATTTTTGTGTTTACCGCACATTAAGAAAATCTACCAACAAAATAGAAATAGAATCTCTATTTAGTGGGTGCTAACGACTGCATTGTGAAGGCCTATCAAAAGTATTTATTAATCTGGAACAACGGAACCAAAGCGCGATTCAGGAGACTACAGCGCCATCTCTTGACCATTGGTGTAGTAGAACCAAAAACCACATCTTTATTTTTTGTAATAAAGTAACAGTTATAGGTATTCATATTTATAATATTTATCCACATGTTTCTAGTTTGTATATTCGGAATACGTGTTTGAGTTTCATACAAGTGCAAATCACATAATTATGTTCTTATAAATTATATTCAGTAGCGATGTTAATTGATTATTTTGATTATTTATTTATTTTTTCAAATTAAAACTGAACTTTATTGACTGTGTCCTTTTCCAGACTTTTTATTAATTTATTGTTATTAATTATTTGCATGCAATTAAAAACTAATTTTATACGATGCCAAAGAAGGATAACTTCTCACGCGCCTACATAAGTACACGCACCCATTTTTTTCTTTTTATATATATGTTATAGGGGCCATACGTGCAGACGGCTCACCTGATGGTAAGTGATCGCCCATGGACACTTGCAACACCAGGAGTATCACAAATACGATGCCGGCCTTTAAGGAAGGAGTACGCTCTTTTTTGAAGGTTTCTGGGTCGTATTGGTCCGGAAACACAGCTGGCGACAATATATTCCACAGTTTTGTCGTACGTGGTAAAAAATTTCGACAAAAACGCACGGTTGTGGATAGCCACGCACGCATCAAGATGATGCTGATGAAAGGAGATTGCTCAAATTGGCCCAAACGCACAAAAAATATTGACATACACGGTAATTCTTGGCGTAATTTATAATTTAATTTACAGTCATTAGATTTCAACGGACACCTTTGTATAATATATTTACTTTAAAAAGGACTTTAAGAGTACGGCGCAACGCAGTGTCGAGTAAACACGGTTTAACAGCTGAGCGTGCCTTTCCGTGAATCATTTGCAACTCATTCGCTAGTCAGTGATTCTCAAAATGTTTACGACTAAATGTGCCACCTGTAACGACACTGTCGGTCATGGCTCGGAGTGCTCAGTGTGCAAACAAAAATATCATTTCGGTTGTGGCGGCATATCCGAGAGGGGTTTCAACAGATTGGGGTCCGGCAGGGACTCATGGATATGTCCCGCTTGTCGAGATACCAGTGGATCAATTTCCAAGGATGCTTCACCGTCATCAGTCACCAGTGGGACGCCAGTTACCTCCAAAGTACACTCAAGTCATCTCATTGAACATTCCACAGCGGTAATCCAACCCGAACGTGAAACTGTACTCAAGGACATCCTGGCCAAAGTAACGGATCTTCAAACGCAATTTCAATCATTTCAACGAATGGAATCTGATTTAAAACAAGTGAGAGCCGACGTTGCAGACCTTAAATCGTCTCTTGACTTAAGGGTGGACGGCATATTGGACCGTGTTTCGGAAATAGAATCCCGCTTGTCACCTATTGAAGATGTAAAGGCAGAAATGGACAGCCTTAAAAAAGTAATTGAAGCTCTTGTTGAGGATGGCCATAAAAACGAACAATGGGTGCGGCGTTCCAACATACAGATCAATGGAATCCCATATAAAACTGGTGAAAACTTAATTAACTTGGTCAAGAGCCTCGCCGACTTAAGTGAATATTCACTGAAAGAGACGGACATCGATTTTGTCACGCGGGTTGCAGTCAAGGACAGTCAAGATAAAAGACCTAAGCCGATCATATTAAAAATGCAATCGAGATATAGAAAGGACGACTTCTTGGCGGCTCTTCGTAAATTGAAAGATATCAAAGCTAGTGACTTGGGCTTTAGTTCTTCTCAAAATCGAATATACGTAAATGACCATCTATCAACTAAAAATAAATATCTTCTTCAACAAGCTAAAATCAAATCTAAGGAGAAAAGCTATGCATATTGTTGGGTACGGAACTGCACAATTATGGTTCGCAAAAGTGCAAAATCACCTGTGATTCACATCAACTCCGAGGAAGCTTTAAAGAAGATTACATAAGTGCTAACTTTCTATTATTTAATTGGTTTTGCTGCATTATTTGTCTGTTTTTAAAAATCGTTTCTAGTTTTAAATGTTTTAAATTTTTAATAATCTCAATTTGCACTAAATATTATCAATGTGACATAATAATTTCATCAAATAGCGTAAATTGTTTGACAAACACTGTTTCAACAGTTGTTCCATTGTGCGATACTTTTAGTCCGGTTCGCCTGTGTCATGTTGCCGTATCGACGCAAGTAATATCCATTGCTCGCTTAGTGTGCGCAATTCGCTCGCTGTTAGGTTTGTACGGAGTATTCTATACTTATTGTGGCGGATTATCATGTGACTATGCACTTGTTTATATTTTTTTGTTTTACCGTCAATTAGATTTATTGAAACTGTTAATTTTATCGATACATAAATCATTATTAACATATAATGACAATTATTTTTGCGGTGAATTAGATGCTTTTTCTAATCATAGATATGAATACTCGACCATAATGTGTGCAGTGCAGTGCGTGTTGCTTTATTCCTTTATGGATGTATACGCTTCAAGCGGTAAGTCCTTGATAATTATAAGCTCTATTTTTATTTTAATAATTCCTTAATGGTACTAAGCCTATACTACCAAAACGTGCGTGGTTTGCGTAGTAAAACAGGGTTATTCTTGAATAACTTGTTAAATTATAACTATGATATTGTGTGTCTTACCGAAACTTGGTTATTGCCTGGCATTTTCGATGCTGAACTTTTTGATCGACGATACAGTGTATATAGAACTGATAGGGATTACGATAAGCACCGTACTAAGAAGGGTGGTGGCACCTTAATTGCTGTGCGTCAGGGATTGTCCGTAGATGTAAGGTCAGTACACCCAGTACCCTCCCTTTTAGATACAGAAATTACGTGTATTAATATTGTAATGAAAAACGGGCGTAATACTAAAATACTATCAATATTTTGTTGCTATTTTCTTCAAGGTACAAATCAGGAATTGGCTGAACAATCATTTTTTGATCATGTTTCTGACATAGGAATAAACGAACCCGATAATGATTATTTACTGATCGGTGACTTTAATATTCGTTATGCAGCATGGAATGGTGATTCCATTTCAGGAGTTTATTTATCTAATCCACATGTTAACTCACTGGTGTCACAGCTGCATATGTTCTTGAGTTTTACAGGATGGTCTCAATACAATATTGTAGGTAATGCTAATGATAGATGTCTTGACCTAGTAATATCTAGTTTTAAATGTGTTGTATCTCGCACCGAGCCGCTGTCACTGCCAGAAGACTCACATCACCCTGCGCTTAAAGTTGAGTGGCAGACTGAGAGTGACTCATTGCTACTACCATTGCCACGGACTGTTCAATGTTTCTATGCCGCTAATTATGAACATATCAAAAGCGACATTGAAAAAGTTGACTGGGAGGAAATTTTTCAAAACCATTCTCATAGACTGAAAATAGATTTAGCGGTAGACATTTTTTATAAAATTATTTATGAGATCATTGATATTCACGTTCCAAAAAAAATATTGAAACACAGCAATTATCCAGTTTGGTATTCGCGACCGTTAATAAAACTTATCAAAAAAAAACAAAGAAAGCACAAAAAATGGAAAACTTATGGCAGACAGTCTGATTACCTGGAATTTTCTAAGTTACGTAAAGAGATTAAATCAATGCAGAAATTATGCTATGACACTTTTATTACAAAAACAGAAGTAAATTTAAATAAAAATACCAAACATTTTTGGGCGTTCGTAAAATCAAAAAAGGATAATAACTCTATTCCAGACACACTTTACTTGGACAACTCAACTGTTTCAGAGGGATCAACGATTGCACATGTCTTTAATACTTTTTTTCAATCTGTTTTTGAAAGCCATCCGGAGGCGACTTCTACCTATCCACCTTATAGACAAAGTGAATGTATTATTAATTCTGTAAGATGTTCGGAAGACATTGTCAAAAAGTATCTATCAAAGGTTGATGCAAATAAGGGATCCGGGCCGGATGGTATTCACCCTTATTTCATTAAAATGTGCTGCAAGCAATTGGCAGCTCCAATTGCTTACCTATTTCGCCTATCGTTGTCTAGCGCAGTAATGCCTTTAGTGTGGAAGCAGTCATTGGTTGTACCCATTCATAAAAATGGTGATAAACACAACATCCGTAATTACCGAGGAATATCAAAATTGTCTGTAATACCTAAGTTATTTGAAAAAATAGTTTTCGACTCCCTTAATGTAGCCCTTAGACCGATTTTTATTAGTCAGCAGCACGGATTTGTAGCAGGGCGCTCCACTGAAACAAACCTATGTGAGTTTTTAGACCAAGTATTGTGTGGAATGAATAATGGTTTTCAGGTAGATGCTGTGTATACCGATTACTCTAAATGTTTTGATAAAATTTCGCATCAAATATTAGTTAGAAAGCTAGAGAATATCGGTATACATGGTGACCTGCTGAGGTGGTTACAGTCATATCTTGAAAACCGAACTCAGGCAGTTACTGTGAAAGGTTTTAAGTCCAGTTTCATACCGATTACGTCAGGTGTTCCCCAGGGTTCTCACCTCGGACCATTGTTTTTTAACATTTTTATAAATGATGTTAGTCAGTGTTTTCAAAATTCAAAATTCTTACTATTTGCAGATGATACCAAGATATTTTCGATTATTAAGTCTGTTGAAGATTGTGTTAGACTTCAGGAAGATCTAGATCGTTTGTGTGATTATTGTACAATTAATAAGCTGACTATGAATGTCGATAAATGTTGTTCCATAACCTTTAGCAGAAAAAAAACTGAAATAAAATTTAATTATAAACTTTTTGCC